TTTGAAGTCAGGTATTGTGATACCTCCTGCATTGTTCTTTTGACTGAGTATTGCCTTGGCTATTCGTGGCCTCTTGTGTTTCCATATAAATTTCACAGTAGATTTTTCAATCTCTTTAATGAATGTCATTGGAATTTTGATGGGAATTGCATTAAACATGTAGATTACTTTTGGGAGTATCGACATTTTTACTATGTTGATTCTACCAATCCATGAGCATGGGAGATCTCTCCACTTTCTATAGTCTTCCTCAATCTCTTTCTTCAGAAGTGTATAGTTTTCCTTGTAGAGGTCTTTCACATCTTTTGTTAGGTTTACACCTAGGTATTTGATTTTTTTTGAGGCTATTGTAAATGGAATTGTTTTCATACATTCTTTTTCCGTTTGCTCATTGTTAGTGTATAGAAATGCTAATGATTTTTCTATGTTGATTTTATATCCTGCTACCTTGCTATAGCTATTGATGATGTCTAGAAGCTTCTGAGTAGAGTTTTTTGGGTCTTTAAGGTTTAGGATCATGTCGTCTGCAAATAGGGATATTTTGACAGTTTCTTTACCTATTTGTATTCCTTTTATTCCTTCTTCTTGCCTAATTGCTCTGGCTAGGAATTCCAGTACTATGTTGAATAGGAGTGGAGATAGTGGGAATCCTTGTCTGGTTCCTGATTTTAGAGGGAATGGTTTTAGTTTTTCTCAATTAAGTATAATGCTGGCTGTAGGTTTGTCATATATAGCTTTTATAATGTTGAAGAACTTTCCTTCTATTCCTAGTTTTCTTAGAGCTTTTATCATGAAATGATGTTGGATCTTATCAAATGCTTTTTCTGCATCTATTGAGATGATCAAGTGGTTTTTGTCTTTGCTTCTGTTAATGTGGCTTATTACGTTTATTGATTTTCATATGTTGAACCACCCCTGCATCCCTGGGATGTAGCCTACTTGGTCGTGGTGAATAATCTTTTTGATGTGTTGCTGAATTCGGTTTGCCATTATTTTGTTGAGGATTTTTGCATCAATTTTCATTAAGGAGATTGGCCTATAGTTCTCCTTTTTGGAGGTGTCTTTGCCTGGTTTTGGGATAAGTGTAATAGGCTTCATAAAATGTGTTTGGCAGTTTTCTTTCCCTTTCTATTTCATGGAACAGTTTAAGGAGGGTTGGTATCAGTTCTTCTTTAAAGGTCTGATAGAATTCAGCAGAGAATCCATCAGGTCCTGGACTTTTCTTTTTGGGGAGACTCTTGATTGCTGCTTCAATTTCATTTTGTGTTATAGATCTATTCAGGTGATTAATTTCCTCTTGGTTCAGTTTTGGATGATCATATTTATCTAGAAATCTGTCCATTTCTTTAGATTTTCAAATTTATTTGAATATAGGTTCTCAAAGTAGTCTCTGATGATTTCCTGGACTTCCATGGTGTTTGTTGTTATCTCCCCTTTTGCATTCCTGATTCTACTAATTTGGGTTTTTTCTCTCCTCATTTTAGTCAGGTTTGCCAGGGGTCTATCGATCTTGTTTATTTTTTCAAAGAACCAACTTTTTGTTTCATTAATTCTTTGTATGGTTTTTTTGGTTTCTATTTCGTTGATTTCAGCTCTTATTTTTATTATTTCTCTCCTTCTATTTGTTTTGGGATTTGCTTGTTCTTGTTTTTCTAGGAGTTTGAGATGTATCATTAGGTCATTGATTTGGGATCTTTCAATCTTTTTAATATATGCACTCATGGCTATAAACTTTCCTCTCAGACTGCCTTAGCTGTGTCCCATAGGTTCCGGTAGGTTGTGTTTTCATTTTCATTGACTTCCAGGAACTTTTTAATTTCCTCTTTTATTGCATCGATGATCCATTCTTCATTAAGTAATGAGTTATTTAGTTTCCAGCTGTTTGCATGTTTTTTTGTCTTTACTTTTGTTGTTGAGTTCTACTTTTACTGCATTGTGATCAGATAGTATGCACGGTATATTTCTATTTTCTTATATTTGCTGAGGCTTGCTTTGTGCCCTAGGATATGATCTATTTTGGAGAAGGTTCCATGGGCTGCTGAGAAGAATGTATATTGTGTAGAGGTTGGATGAAATGTTCTGTAGACATCTACTAGGTCCATTGATCTATTGCATATTTTAGATCTTGGATTTCTTTATTGAGTTTTTTGTTTGGATGACCTATCTATTGATGATTGGGTGTTAAAGTCTCCCACAACCACTGTGTTGGCGTTTATATATGCTTTTAGGTCTTTCAGGGTATGTTTGATGAAATTGGGTGCGTTGACATTGGGTGCGTACAGATTGATGATTATTATTTCCTTTTGGTCTATTTCCCCTTTTATTAGTATGGAATGTCCTTCTTTATCTCGTTTGGTCAATGTTGGTTTGAAGTCTACTTTGTGAGAGATAAGTATTGCTACTCCTGCCTGTTTTCGGGGGCCATTGGCTTGGTAAATCTTCTTCCAGCCTTTCATCCTAAGCCTATGCTTATTTCTGTCGGTGAGATGAGTCTCCTGTAAGCAACAAATTGTTGGATCTTCTTTTTAATCCATTTTGTCAAACGGTGTCTTTTGATGGGTGAATTAAGTCCATTAACATTAAGTGTTAGTACTGATAGGTATGTGGTGATTCCTGCCATTTAGTTTCTTAGTTGTTTGAAGGTTTGATTGTGTGTACCTAACTTGATTTACTCTCTACTGTCTTGCTTTTTCTTTTCCTGTGGTTTGGTGCTGCCTGCCTTTTCATGGTTAAGTTGGGTTCACTTTCTGTGTGCAGGATCCCTTGCAGAATCTTTTGTAATGGTGGCTTTGTGGTCCATATTGTTTTAGTTTCTGCTTATCATGGAAGACTTTTATTGCTCCATCTATTTTGAATGATAGTTTTGCTGGGTAGAGTATCCTGGGTTGAAGTTATTTTCATTCAGTGCCCGGAAGATCTCACCCACGCTCTTCTTGCTTTTAATGTTTCTGTTGAGAAGTCTGCTGTGATTTTGATGGGTTTACCTTTGTATGTTACTTGTTTTTTCTCTCTTACAGCCTTCAATATTCTTTCCTTAGTTTCTGAACTTGTTGTTTTAATGATGATATGTCGTGGTAGTTCTATTTTGATCTGGTCTGTTTGGTGTCCTGGAGGCCTCTTGCATCTGTATGGGAATATCTTTCTCTAGATTTGGGAAATTTTCCGTTATTATTTTGTTGAATATATTACGCATTCCCTTCGCTTGCACCTCTTCTCCTTCTTCGATGCCCATGATTCTCAAGTTTGGTCTTTTGATGGAGTCGTGAGTTCTTGCATTTTCTTTTCACAGGTCTTGAGTTGTTTAATTAATAGTTCTTCAGTTTTTCCTTTAATTACCATTTCATCTTCAAGTTCTGAGATTCTGTCTTCTGTTTGTTCTATTCTGCTGGATTGGCCTTCCGTTTTGTTTTGCAGTTCTGTTTCGTTCTTTTTTCTGAGGTTTTCCATATCCTGGCTGTTTCTTCTTTATTGTTGTCTATTTTTGTCCTGAGTTCATTTATCCATTTATTCATTGTGTTCTCTCTTTCACTTTGGTGTTTATACAGTGCTTCTATGGTTTCCTTTATTTCTTCTTTTGCTTTTTCAAATTCTCTATTTTTGTTGTCTTGGAATTTCTTGAGTGTCTCCTGTACATTTTGGTTGACCCTATCCAGTATCATCTCTATAAAATTCTCATTGAGTACTGTAGTATGTCTTCTTTTAAATTATTCTTGTGGGCTTCATTGGGTCCTTTGGCATAGTTTATCTTCATTTTGTTGGAGTCTGGATCTGAGTTTCTGTTTCTTCATTCCCCTCTGGTTCCTGTACTAATTTTTTGCTGTGGGGAAACTGGTTTCCCTGTTTTTCTGTCTTCCCGTCATTGTCTTGGTGTTGTTACTGTCCCTGTACTGTGTGCAATTAAGTATTTTCTAGCTTGTAATAATAACAATGGTAATATTTAGAATGGAAGAGTGAGCTGAGATGGAAAGCAAGAAGTTAAAGAAAAGGGAAACAAATATACAGACAAGAGGGAGAAAGCAGAACAAGGTATCAGACAAGAGAGTTTCAAAGGTATAAACAGGGAGTGTTAGTGTACTAATCGACAGTAAGCTGAACAGACATTAGAGAGACAGAGAGAGGATTGAAAATCAAAGATAAAAAAAATAAAATAAGTATTATGAAAGTAATCTATTATAAAAATGAATTAAATAAAATGGAAAATAGAAAATTAAAAAAAAAAAAAAAAAACAAAAAACCTTCCAAGTTTAATGCAATGCAATTTCAGTCTTAATAATTTGGGTGTCCGTCTCAGTCTCCAGTCCTGGAGTTGGTGCCTCAGATGTTGTTCTGTAGTTGTCTCATCAAAGGGGATGCATAAAGTAGAACAAAACTACACTCACACACACACAACACACACAATAAAAGCCCACCAAGTGTCCCAGTTCAAATGCAATACAGTTTCAGTAAGTTTTTTCGGCTTTGCAGGTGTAATTCGGTTGTTCTCTCATCAAAGGTAGGGAGAAAAAGAAAAAAAAAGCGTCTGGAGGCAGTTCTGAGAGTGGTATCTGCAACTGTGGCTTGCCTGCCTGCTGCTCTCAGCCTGTAGCTGGCGTGTTATTTATGCGATCTCTGGGGTGAGCTTAGCACTCACCTGGTCCCACAGGCTTTGTTTGCTCAGAGTTCTCCTGTGCGGGGCCCTCTGCTACAGGCTTTTCCCCTTTCCAAGCACTGGGAAAGGCGACACTGCCCCGCGTTGTCAGGCCTGCGTGTTTATTTACAGTTCATGTGGGAAGTGGGTCTTCCCTCTCTCACAGCGTCCCGCTCCTGGTTTTGCTGGGCGCCCCGCTCCCGCCAGAAGCCTTCCGGCCCGCCCGGGCTGCGTTTATTTCTCCGGGAAGGATTCCCTTCCCCAATTTCAGCGCTCAGGGCGCCCCCCCTCTTTCCAGCGTGTCTTAACTGTTTTATTCTAGTACTCAGTTTCCTTTTTTTTTTCCCGGGTGGAGGTCAGTCTGTCCAGGGGGCTATGCTTGCTCTGGCGCAGGCTTGTCCTGTGGGCGGAACCGCGTCCCAGCGGCGAAGCTCACCTGGTCCGCGCTTCCCAGCCGTGTGGGCGCCGCCACTGGCGGCCCCGGGGGCCCTCCTGTTCTCCCGTTAACGTGAAGTGGAGAATTCTCTGTCCTGGCTGGAGATGTGGAGGAAGTCAAAGTTATGCCTTTTCTCAGTGATTATGCCCTGCAAAGTGTGTCTCCAGCGTCTCTCCAAGATTTCACTATAGGAGGGTCGCTTTCTGCTTCCTACCTCTAGCCGCCATCTTGGAATCTCTCCCCCCTGCTATACTTTTTTTAACTTCCAGTGAATGCCATGATTTATTTTTAAAATAAAATGTTTTTAAAATAATGTTCTAAAAGTTTTTGGATTTATAACAATAGATTTAGCAATGAATTCAGAAACAGATGCTTCATACATTACCTAGGACTGCCTTGAGACATGGGACAAAGGAGATGAGAGAGGATAGAAAAATTTCCATGTTATTCTTAAAATCCATCAGCTCAGTGTGTCAGTCCAGGACCCAGAAGGAAACGGATGGCAAGTTCAGTGGGAAAGGTGACTAGTTATGAAGTTTTGTTGCCTGGCAAGAGATCAGTGAGAGTGGTGGTTTGAGCAAAATAGTTTCAAGAGGCTCCTTTAACAATAAAAAGCTGCATGTATGTCGTATTTCTGTAATGCCAGCAATGGGCAGCTTAACTAGAAGTCACAGGCTGGCGAGGGACAATAAACACTAGAACCTTATTCAAAAACTAGTTAAAGCAAAAAGTGCCTGCCTAGCATAGTAACAAGACCTGAGTTCAAACCCAAGTACTAGCCAATAGCCAATATGTATTTGTATGCATGTACATATATATGTATTGTATATGTGTGTGTGTAACGTCATATATATCTTTGTGTGATGTAATGTATATATCTAGCCCAGTAATCTTTCTAGAGCGCTTGTTACCTGCTTTCATAGGTTGGTAGATTCTTAATACACCCAGGGAAGTAATTTTATACATTTATGAAAAAATATCATTTCTCACTGCATGCTTAAGATATTTTCAAATTGCTTCAAGAATAACTACTCATTCATTTTGCAGCTACATGGTATTCTGTTATATGCAGTTATGTGTATCACGATTATGTCCCTAGTCTCCTATTGTTGATACTTGTTATCCACGAAGCCCTAGACTTGTAATATGTGCACTTTTCTATGTTACACTTCAGTTACAATGCATTGAAAAGAAGATGGTTGGCTTTGTCCCCTTGGTGCATGGCAGATCTCACGTTAGTGAATTTCCATCCATGCAGTGGAGTACAGACCTCTCCATTCTAACCTGCTCTGCTGTATTTTTTTACAAGACTTTCACTCCCCAAAACGTCCTATCAGGATTCCTGCAGCGTCCCTGTAGGTACCCCCAGAATTCAGGAGTGAAATGATAACATTCACTCTGAGTTGTTTTCTTTAAGTGCCTTTTGCTGGTATTGGAGTCTGATAAGTGCATCTGCATTTTCAGGGTTTGTAAATTCAGAATAGATAGAGAAGTAGTAGTAATTGGGTTTGGGAGATATGGTAATGGTCATAACTGCATCAGAAGAGGTCCCACAGCTTTGGAGTGGTCTCTTGGTGGTCCCTGACTCTTCCAGGTAGACAGCAGAGTGGGAATAGGAAGAGCTAGCTGGTCTGACATTCACCTGGTTCATGTTCATGCTTTGTATGCATAGTGTGCTAACTGACTCAGCACCATGAGTTACTAGTGTTCACATCTTTATTACCCACACCAACCTCATCCTATCCCCATCTGTAGAGACTTTGTTCTACTTTCTTTTCAAAGTTCAAAACTTCTTTTTCTTTCAAGGTTCAGTTTCAGAGGTCATAATTTGTACTAGGCAGTTCCTAGGACCCATGCATCGGTAATTTTGTAGGCAGAGATGGTTTCTCAGCTATGTGATATTTATTGGAAATTAAGACCTGCCTACCTTATTGTGGTTACTTTTATTTTGAAGTCCTAGTGGGACTTCCTGTCTTTTGGTAAAGCATCCCCAGGGGTATTTCAAGAGTAGGTCAGAGATGATTCAGCCAGGGATCTGCTGCTGCTCTCTTAGCCAGGAAATACTGCAAAGCAGTTTTAGAACTGAACCCTGGAGATTAGATACACTCTTTTTGACCTCTGTAGACACTGATGTGTTGATAACACCCACTGCATTACAGATAATTTAATGATTTTTTATTGGATTATTCTTTTTGTTGAGTTAAAAAAATAGTCATAAGAAGAGCAAACATTCCTTTTACCTCTTACCTCTTAGTCCTTTCCTGGGACTGTGATCCCTCAGATCAGTTGTTTATAGCTGGGAATGCATCAGAGTTACCTGAATAGCTTGTTACACGTCCCAATGACTCACTCTTACAACTCCTAGCCTAGCCCTCCTACCTGGTTGATGTTTGACAAGGGATACAAGGAAGACTCACCTGTTTAACCCACTTCCTTGGATACTTAAGAGTCCAGATTCTTTAGCACAGCACTCAGACCTTTGGGGTCTGTGGCCTGTCCACAATTCACCCTCATCCACTAGGACCCTTCTCTTTACTCTGCATCAGCCCTTGCCCTCCCTCAAACACACTAAACTCATTCCCACTTTAGGAAATTTGCCTGGGATGCTGGTCCCCAGCTCATTGCCACCCAGCCTCTTCTTTTTTTAATTTTTTATTTAGTTTTGACAGGGTCTTGCTCTATAGCTTAGGCTGGCCCCAAACTCATTACCTTTCTAACTCAGCCTTCCAAGTGCTGGGATTATAGGTGTGATTCACCACAGCTGGTTTCCCAGCTCCTTCTTAAGCTCCAGTTTTCAGCTCAGATACCCCATCCTTGGAGTGATCTTCCCTAGCCACCTTAGGTAAAGTGTCCTTCCCCAGAGACTCTCTACCTTCTGGTATCTTGTTTTTTCTTTTGCTAGAATTCTTCAAAATTAGTGATTTTCTTCTTTGCAAGCTTTCTCATGGACTATCCATCATCTTCCACTAGACTATGGAGGCTCCATAAGTGCAGAAAGTTGGTTTGTTTGGTTCCCCTCTGGACCTCGAGTGTCTGGCATATAGTGGGATCTCAATACATATGAATAGGAATGTATGGATACTCTCAGAGACATTCTTTTGAAAACTGAATGGCAGGAATTTGGAGAAAGATATGATTGTGTTTAAATAAAATACATCTTTAAACAAAGTACTTTGCTAATATTGCTGTATATAGCAGAAAGCAATTAAGCTTAAGCCACTAGGAGAACTGGATACTTAAACCATTGCATCTCATTAAACATGTTGGAAAGAATAACTCATAGGAGCTTGGCTTTCCTGTCTCGTCTTGCCAGGGCTCTGTCTTATGTGCTAAAATGTTTCTTTACTTTTGAAATAGATATAAGAGAATTGCTAATGCTTTCCTGCCTTACAGTGAAAAACAAATGCAATTTATTTGCTTATTGTAATTGTCCTGGAGCTCACAGGCTCTGTTGACAGAGGCATTAATAAAACATTCTCTAGAACCTTAAAGTATTTTTGAACTAAATGTATTCTTAGACATCATTTGGCTTAGCCTGTTTTTATTGGAAGACTAAATTGCAAAGTGGAGAGAGACACTAGTATATAGACTGCCACTTATGAGCCTGTGTGACCTTCAGCAAAACATTAACAGTACATGATAACTATTTCAATTAATTACCCATGAGAAAGCTAAGAAATGTGAAATGAAACTGTTATTTAAAGCTGGTATCTTTGTGTTTTCCAACTGGTGTCTTTTGACCATGGCTGTCCATAGAAGCACCCAGAATACTTAAAAAGTATTGATGCTGAGGTCCCTCCCTAAATGAATTAGGTCAGAGTCTTTGGAGCCAGGTCCTAGGCATCTATATTTTTATAAAACTCCACAGTGGTATGGATCATTATGAGGTGCAGCCATGTTGGCTGCTGTGGTTGGTAAAAGTACAGATTTCCAGACTCGGTACCAAGCCCACTCGGTTTGGAAGGCTGTGATAACAAAGTACCATAACTGCATAGCTTAAATAGCAGAAGTTTATCATCTCACAGTTCTGGAAGCCAGAAGTCCAAAGAAGGTGGGGTTGGGGTTGGTTCCATTTGAAACATGTGAGGGAAAGATCTATTCTAGGCCTCTCTGTGACTTAGTGGCTGTTTTCTCAATGTTTCCTCACATCATCTTCCCTCTATACTTGTCTGTTTCTCTGTCCTAATTTTATTTTTTTTTATGAGAACACCAGGTACCTCATTAGTACAGTAGGTAGTGTGCCAGTGTCACATAAGGACACCAATCCTTTTGGATTAGGACCTTTATAATGACCTTGCATTAACTTGATTACCTCGATAACCCTGTCTCTGAATATGGCCTATCTAGAGGCACTGGGGTTGAGGACTTGTTTTTTTTTTTTTTTTTTTTGTGGTGGGGGGGGGGTGTAGGGAGGAACCCATTCAACTCATAACATCATGAAATCAGAATCTCCTAGGGAGAGACATGGGAACTGTGTATATTTGGCAAGCACTGCAAAAATAAGTCTGGAAAGCATGGAAGTAGGGACAAAAAAAAAAAAAAAACTGCAAGTGCTCAAAGGGCCAGGCAGGTGAGGTCTGAAGCTGGTAGCGGGGGATTCCAGCCACTGAAGAGCATGAGATCAGGTCCAGTATGTGCCATAGGAACGAAGGGCCATGGTCCCACCCTGCCCCCGTCTTTCTGTTAGATTTTCTGAAAACCTGAATTTTTATTTAAAAATTTTCTGTAAGTAAAGTGCTTTACAGACCAAAAATACATCCATAAGCCTGATACTGATATAGCCCATACAGTATTTTTTACTTATCTTTTTAGAGAACCATTGGGGTTTTATACTGGGTTCAAAATCCATTGCTGTCCATGGGTCAGTGTGAGGAGAAGGAGGACAAGAGGGACATTTGGATGGTAGGGAAAGGTGACAGGGAAGAGATCAATCTGGCCCAGTTATTCCAAGGAGATTGCCTTAAGATGATCCCTCAGATAATTCAGTCAGTCATTTTGGAGAGGTGTTGTTTTTCTTTCTTTTTTTTTTTTAGGGGGGCAGTACTGGTATTTGAACTCAGGATTTTTAAATTATAAGGCAGTGCTCCACTGCTTAAGC